AACGATAATCTGGACTCAAAGATCCGATGTATTACTTGTTACGATATCGTACACTTGAGATAGAAAAACGAAACACCATGCACACGAGAGGGCTAAAGTGGAGAAAGAGAGAACCATAAAGAATTCTAGCAAAGAGCCAATATATATATATTCATGTCAAAAACACTTTTAGATGCACTTACCATCAAACTTCTTCACATTTAGAGCCTCAAAAGATGACTCCAGTGTGGACAAAGGTGACAACTGCAGGTATTTACTTTAACTATCTCAATGTCCAATCTTTTTCAATTCATATTTGATAATGTATCAATTTCGAAATGCTTAACCTTTCTTTCTTGCTGTTTCTTTGAGTGGCCTTCGTCATGCTCATTATCAATATTGGCATTCTCCATGACATTATCTGGCATAGACAGTAAACTTAAAATGACCAAAAGTAGGAGGGATGCTATTCAATGCACAGCAAAGATTAGAACTGACAAGATTGAAAACATTTTTTTTGCATTAAGTATAGGCGAGGAATATAAGCATATCCAGAGTGTAAATTGGGGATTGTTCATTCCCATGTAACTATGACTTGGACACAATACAAAAAGAAAGAAATAGCTATGTCATAATGACTGGAAGTGGCATTTTGGTAAGGCATACAGGAGATAATTGTAAATCAGTGCAACAATATTCTTTATATTTATCTCTTATCAAAAAAAAAATATATTCTTTATATTTATAGTAACCAAGATAGATAACAAGAAAAGCCATGAAGGTGAAGAATCTGAGTTTGTAGGATAGAGAACTAGTTCTAGACCAGGTTCATAGAGTCCACTTAACTTTATCAATCAGCTTATGAGTGAAACTTCTATGTGTTTCAGCTGACTTATTGTTTGTTTCAATTAGACCGCTTCAAATGTCTCGGAATCTGATGCTTCAGTATCATGGCTACTAAACTTTGGCATAATTTAGTCAAATCATTACAGTTTTTAACCATTTGTTAGAAATTGAATTTCTCAACCCAACTTTCAAACTATACCCAGTTTGAGCTTAGTTCCCATAAATTGGCTAATACGTAAGTCAAAGGTAGATCATTGGTAACCAAAACATATCCAATAGACAAAAGAATGGTGAAAGTTTAGTATCCTCCTGTCCATTTTACCCGAAAGGAAAAGGAAAAGAATATTTCCTCAAACACTCCAGTATAGAAATTAATTTAACACTAAATTATATCTCGACATTAGTAAATATAACATTTCGTGAACTAAGTTGCATGACCTCAAAATACATCATTCCAATTCTTCACATTAAAAGTTAAGAGCAAGATAATTCATATATGCAAATAGCAAAATATGTAGTACAATACATATGAAAATGAAGCCTTGAAAAATCTAACCTTGTTCATCCTCTTGCCCAACACGATTAATTCCTCCAAGAACCTTATATGCCTCTGAATGAACTGAATCCACCCTCATTGAATAAATCTTAACTCCAGCTTCAAGGGTACAACTTGCCTAACATAAAACCATAAATAATATATATATATATAGATGTGTATGCCGTCAATATAGTGCTTGCTTGTATGTGTGCAACATACCCAAACAAAACAACAATTGTGTTGTGCAAAGTGAAAGCCACTGAAGTCAATACTCACTTTTATACTAACTTGAAGGAAGCGTGCATATTTAAGAATACACATTGCTCCTGAAACACTCCTTTTTTGCCACGGTTTTAAAAAGGTTATCGTGAAGAAGCCATTGCTTGAGAGATAAAATTAAGATCGATAACACAAAATGATTCCATTGGCAAAAAATTCAGAAGAAAAAGAAAAGAATTTGCTGCAGATACGCGTGTAACTGACCAAAATCCAGCATCTACTCGGGCAAAAACCACATTTCTCGAAATTGAAAGACCTAATATTCCTTCATAAGCAACAAATAGTTGAACTGTGATGGGACAAAATAAATGGCACNTAATAATTGGAGTTTTTAGCAGTTTTAGATATCAAAAATCAGTTGTTGAAAGTAAAAAAAAAAAAATATTGGCAAAACGTAGGCCGTTTTAAGGAGCCAATTTTTGGTCAATTCGGTCCGACATTTGTGCACGCAGATCGCGCCCGCACACAAGTTCAAGGTCCAAGATTTATTTCGGTCCGTTATTTGCACTTCCCCTACGCGCGCACGTAGAGAGAAGCTACATACTATACATAATTACTCACTTCCAAAATGTAGACATATATAAAGTAGTTCTTGGTTTCATAAACTTCATATATGGGATACACTCAAATTTAGTTTTCCCTCCAACACAAACCATATTCCAATGGTCCACCTTGAACTCCAATTTCTCATTCGTTGGAGCTTTATTTTTTACAAGTAAATACATAATTTTGATGTTCTCACGGAGAATACAAATCAATGTTAATCTTCCAAAATAAGCTAACGAATTACATTGAAAATTTATGCCAAAGTCAGCATTCACCTCATTTTTTCCGATAATAGAATCTTTCCAAATGGAGACAATCGTGATAAGGTTATTTGTGATGCAGCCTTCTTACAATAACAAGCTCAACGATAAAAACATGTGTCAATAAATGATTGGACAATTTAAAAAAA